ATTAAGAATGCCTCCAGGACAAGGACTCCTACTCCCAAAAAGTGTAAATGGCCAATCCTCTAAATTCTTAAAAGTCTTCATCATCTAAAGCTTCTGAGAACCAACACACAAACTATCGATCAATAACATGGCATTTGTAGCTCATGTAACACCTCCATATGACATCTATAAGAAACCCAAAATTAAATAAATTAAATATATGGAGAGAGACCCAAAATCTAATAGTTGTTCCATCATTTGTTCCCATTTAATACCTTTGCAAAAATATCACAGATTATGAGATTTTGAACAGGAATTGTAAAGTTTTTTTCAAGTTTTGGTGAATTCACAATATTTCAGCTATGTAATCCCAGTTACTAAATGCAATGTCATCATTCAGTTTCATTTAACTATTTCTAGCAAAGGAGAATCTGCCATTTTTCAAGGCTGGCTGTTATATATTGGACAGATGTTACCATCATGAAAATGTCACCTGATGTCCAACCAAAATCTTCTTCTTTGTAATCTAAACCTTTGTTTGCAATCCTGACTTCTACATGACAGTCTTTTAGATATTGGAAGAGAGATATCTCTCTCTTCACAGACATCTCCATTCATTCCTCATAATTATTTTTCTTCCAAGGTTCTCTTATCATTTTGGTTGCTCTTTTCCATACAAGATTCAGTTTGACGATGTCCTTCCTAAAATTGGACTCTGTATTCTAGATGTGATCTGACCAGTTCAGAACAGAGACAAATGACGGCATTGCCACAGCCAAGGCAAATCCATGAGTTTACTTACTTTAGCCTTCTCATGAAGCTCATGCGTTAGAAGTCCTTGGAATCTAATGTAATGAATTCAGTGATTAGCACATACTGTCACTTCAGCTTTCTCTAACCTGGTGTCCTCCAAACATGTTGGGCTTCAAACCAGTCCTCCAGCTACGATAGCTTGACTAGGCCCACTGGGAAGAAAGGAGTGGCCCAACACTTCTAGAAGGCCTCAAGTTGAGGAAGCCCAAAATGCAATGCCTCTCTGAATTTTCAGACTTGTCAATGTAGATTCAACTTAGAAGTCTTTATATGCAAAGAATGTCCTCTTCCACTGAGCCACAGCCTTTACATTGTTTGTGTTAATCTCCTCTGCATACTTACATGGATATACAACAATAAAATAAGTCTCCCATGGAGATCTTAAAGCTACAGAGTTTATTTAGAGTTTATGCTTGACCCGTACTCCTCCCATATCCATAGATACTCCTTTTACTTTAATTGTTCTCTCGCACATCCTGCAAAGACCCTACCTTTCTTTAATTTAATTTAATTTTAAAGAAGCAATGAGCTATCTGGAAAATGTTTCGCTGAAATGTTATTTCTCTGCCCCAGGCAATATGAGCACTAATGAACACCACATTGAAGATTAAGGCCAAATTAACTAAGACATTATCTCTCTAAATATCAAGCAAGTGACCACGAACTAACACACATTAAAAAAAAAAGTGGAAAAAATTAATTCAGAAAGTTAGTAAGAAAAGTGATACAATCAAAGAGAGGGACTGAAAAATTCTTCCCTACAGCCTCAAAGAAAAGATAACAAAAGATTTCCTCTCCCCATTTCTGCTATAACTCACTCTTTACCAGCTGCTTCACATAGAGGCACCTGGTAAACAATCCGGCCAGACTAGTCCAGCTGTACCTACTACAGGTAGCCCTCCACATATGACTACAACTGCATAAAACTTAGTTACCAAACCGATAGTAACACCGGTTAAATCCCACCCCTGGATACTGCCCATTCTCTTCTACTAGCCCTTGCATGTTCCATCAATTTTCCCATTTTTAGTAAATATTCCAGCAAGGCACAACACATTAATTTATTTACTTTAGTTTCCATCCTTCAAGTATAATTTGAAGTCTTTCATTTCCTTGTGATTAATGCATTTCCATTTATCTTTAATGAATTAACTTTCAGATCTATACTTACCTTTGCATTATGCAACCTGTCCAACACTTGTTGCAATTCATTTGGATTCTCAACCAGAAACATGGCATCAACTCCATGTAAAATGGCATGTACATGTGTGTTTCTAGCCACCTGCTTCTTCTTCAGCATCACAGTGTTCATATAGTTATTGTTTAGTTATTTTTAATTATTCCCTACTTAGAACTGAACATTTCGTGAAACATTCCAATTGCCACATGCATATCACTTTTATTGCATTCCATAAGAAATGTTCAATTGTGTACTTGTGCAAAACGTTCAACAGTCAAAACATATGTACTGCTGGCTGTCTCAGATGCAAACATTTTTCTGGTTCCTTCTGAAAAATAAAATCTGGACAGCATATTCTGTCTGGCTTAAGCCTAAATTGTACTTCCCAGATTTTGTTCATTGTCATCACTTGTATCATTTTTATTAGAGTTCTAGCAAATGTCCTTCCAGGTGCTTTTAAACTAATCCCCCTATAGTTTAGGTATTCACTCTTCCTACCGTTCCTTTTGAGAGCAGGACAATATTAGCATACTTCTAATCATTATCCATAGATGAACTCTTCACACCCATTAAATAAATCACATAACCACTGTGCAAAGGCAAATTGGCATCCATATTTCTCCAATAACGTTGTGTATCTCAGCAGTCAGAGGCATTGATGTACGTTTGGTATTATGCTTCAATATTATTATTAAAATTTATCCCATATCATTTCATCATTTTATTTTTAATATCTCTATCAGAGAGTTGTTTCCTCTATCACTAGCTTCCCACATGGTGCTTATTATTTTCAAAAGCATTCTGCAATTTCCTCTGTCCCTTTTAATTCTGACTATTCCTTCTTCTCTTTGACTACATTGTTTGCAATTGATCTTTTCTTTCTATTTCATATACAATAATGTTGTTTTTGCTAAATCATTTTGTAATAAGCATTTTGTCATCTACAGCTGGGGTTCCCCAACCCCAACCCCAGGTCCATGGGCCGGCACCAAGGTGCAGGATGCCAGAAACCAGGCCACACAAACAAGCAAAGACCCATCCCAGTGAAGCACACGAAACCACGCCTCTCCTGTCCATGGGGAAAAAACGTGCTTCATGAAACCAGTCCCTGGTGCCCAAAAGGCTGGAGGCCCCTGATCTGCAGCTTCTTTGCTTCATCATATTACCTAGCATCCTCATATCTTCCATTAGCACAATTCCACGCACTTCTATGGCACTCTATAATCTACTTATTTTCAATCTCTTCCAAACAGCCATCATAGCCTCTTTTCTTATTTGCACACTCCATTTACTTTCCGGGAAGATTATCTGTTCTCCAGTCCTTTTTCCATATATAAGTGATAGTTTTTCTTCTCTTACTCTTCCTACTTCCATTCTAATTTCTTTCACTTTTTTTTCTTTTTCTTCCATGCCCCTTTTCCTTCCAAGAGGGGCTCTTTGCATTATGAAATAGCAATTTGTCCCACGTTCCAAACTACTCTTTCTCCTCCATTGATTTTCTCAGTCTTTAATCCTAAACAATGAAACTGTGCTTTTAAATGACTCCCTTTTCCACATATGGATGTGAAGCAGGCCTTCATGGACCGGTGCTTAGAATGAAGAGAGTAAAATCAGTAAATATACTATAAAACAAAACAATTGGTGCTTTGATGAGTCTCTTATAACAGAAAGGGCCATTGTGACATCATGAAGATTGAAAATTCCACAATGTTGGTAACATTGTTAGGTACAGATGTTAAGACAAGCAGGTGGATAACTAAGACAGGAATCCAGAACCATGAAAATCATGTATATCCAGCCATAGTTCCCATGCCTACAGCACCAGGAGGCAGGGGATGAAGGTTATACAGACCACAGATCTGGTGAATCAGCTCCTATGGAGCTGGTTTCAAACAACCCGGTAAGTTATAAACCAGAATTCCCACCGAATCACCTACTGATAAAATGTGTATTTTAATATGATTGGGAATGACTGTGCAATTTACAATTTTTGTCATGGATCAAAAAAAAAAAAAAACTATTTTGCTTTTGTTTGGTGAATCCTGAACTTATAACAATGGACCACTTGCTCTCAAAAGCTTGAAGTCTGCTCACCACTGCAACGAGTCATTTCTGCACCAAACCAGAACTAATCCAATCCTTATTCTCTGCAGAGAAACCATTACACTCCTGTTGCAGTTTGCAGAATACCAGGCCCAGAGGTTATTCCAACAACTTTCCAATAACCGCTTACTGCAATTGATTCCATGTTGGAGATGCTTTTTCAGGTGGGAACCTCTGGGAACAAACTAAACAGCTAGAGCAGGGAAGATAATCGGCACAGAAGGGAAAGAATATATAGCTGTCTCTAAAAAGGACTCACTTTGCCAAAGATATTCATTGCTCACTGAATTGTTGCAAATTTTATCGCCAGTTATTAAATCTGTTATTTTTAAAAGTTCTCCTTGCATTCCATTAAAAGGCACTCAAATTAATGTACCATTCAAATAGTTAAAATGCTTTTAAATTTTTATATGGATAAACAGCCAAACACTGATAAGTAACAGACAAAACAACGGCTAAAATAACCCCACATAGAAGATTTTTGCATGCCATTAATAGGAACAACATGATAAATTTCGAAAGTCTTTGCCCAAAAATAAAACCAGCTGGGGGGACTCCATCACTGAAACTGCCCTGTCTTTGGAACTGAGCTGCCTTTAAATACAGCTGTTTGGGTAAATCGATAAATTAAAAACAGTGATAAGGATTTCAAATACGTATCATTTGCACTGAAGTGAAACTTGGGTTTTAGCTGTAGTTTTTCTGCTACTAACTCGTATTCAGGATGCTTCCAAAATGATTTGTTTAACAAACTTTCCAAGTCATGGTTTCATTTTACAATCTTAACTCTTTTGGCATGTTTTCCTATTTGATCCAATGAAGAACGACAGCTCGGCTCACAGCACTCCAAGATAAGGATGAAAGAGAGAGAGCAGATGCTAATCAGAAGAATCGCGCTACTAATCAGCCAGGGGAAGATGGCAGAGAGAGAACATCACTGCCTTCTAAATCTATCTACGGCTTGTTTGACAATGATGGGCGGTTAGATGTCTTTAATATGCGGAAGCTGGTCTATGAGAGAGGTAAAGACAGGATATGTCATGGCGTGTAGTGGGATTCAAAAAATTTTATTACCGGTTCTGTGGGCATGGCTTGGTGGGCATGGCAGGGGAAGGATACTGCAAAATCTCCATTCCCTCCCCACCCCACTAACCAGCTTTCCAGCTCCGTTCTCCTATGCAGGGCAACCAAAGAAGACCCAGCCGATCAGCTGGGACTCGGGAGGCAGAGAATAGATGGGGGCGGGGCCGGTCAGAGATGGTATTTGACGGTTCTCCAAACCACTCAAATTTTCTGCTACCGGTTCTCCAGAACTGGTCAGAACCTGCTGAATACCATCTCTGGTCAGGGCAAAGACTGAAACCTGGTTTTACATTTGTCATTTCTGTGGTGAGAAGATCCCAGTAGACACCAAAAAAGCGGAGCTGGTTCTGACCAACGCAATGAGAAAGCGAAAGAAATATACGGGAGGAGTGATCTAACGCATCCAATATTACATAATTACAATGCTACATAATTGACCACAGATTAAGCTCAAGCCAGGGGATGCCTCAGAGATATATCAAACCACAAATCTTTATTAGCTCTAATTAGCATGATGGCCATGTGTTATGGAAATTTCAGTCCAAACCATCTGGAGGGCATCAAGCTGGCCCTCATTCTGATAGATGTTGGAATAATTTACATCACTTTGTTAAAGTCAGGGTTGTTGTTGTTGTTATTATGGGAGAGGGGGACCAGAGCAGTCTTTCTCGGCCTTTTTAAACAAGAGCTTCCAGCTTTACAAAGCGTTGTAGGGATGGAAGTTTAACAGCTCCTCTCAACTGTAGGGCAAAAGAAGGCCTTGCCTGAGACTAAAACAGGCAGTAGTTGCATCAAACACCCCAGTTATAACAGATAGTCTTTGACTTACAACCATTCGTTCAGTGACCATTCCAAGTTACAACAGCACTGGAAAAAAAGTGACTTATGGCCATTGTTCACACATACAACTGTTGCAGCATGCCAATGGTCATAAGACCAAAATTCAGAAGCTTGGGAACTGGTTCGTGTTTATGAAGGTTGCAGTGTATTGGGGAGGAGGGGGTTGTCATGCAATCATCTTCTGTGAACTTCTGACAGGCAAAGTCAATGGGGAAGGCAGATTCATTTAACAGCCATGTTACTAACTTAACAACTGTAGTGATTCATCTAACAACTGCGACAAGAAAGGTCACAAAATGGGGCACAACTCACAACGCCTTGCTTAGTAACAGAAATATTGGGCTCAATTGTGTTTGTAAGTTGCGGAATACTTGTACTCTAAGGACAATCTCAGTTCCCATAGATTAGAACAGGGGTGTCAAACTCAAGGCCCGGGGGACAGATCCGGCCCACGGAGTGCTTAGATCTGGCCCGCGGTGCCGCCCTGGAAATAGGACTGTCCCGCGGTGCCTCTGCCAGCAAAAACAGAGACCCTCCCGAGCTCCTTTTTCACTGGTAGAGGGTTGTAAGAGGCCGTTGCAGCCAAACACAGAGCTTGGGAGCCTGTTCACTGGCAGAGTGTTCAGGCCACCACAAGCGCCCCTGACACGAGTGACATCAAGTAGGCCACACACACTCTGGCCCCCCAAGATCAAACACAACTCTGATGTGGCCCTCAACGAAATTGAGTTTGACACCCCTGGATTAGAAGAACGTTACCCAATTAGTTACTCTCTAGATGTGCAGGGACTAGGCATGAGGGCAGGGGCCTGCAACCTGTGGCTCTGGAGCCACATGTGGCTCTTTCGGCCCTCTGCTGCGGTTCCCTGTTGGCTGATCCCACCACTGGCTGGCCCCTCCCTTCCCCTCCCCGTCACTCCTCGCCTGGCCTGAGAAGGTAAGGGTGATGGCGGGGGATGGAGACTCGCTCCATATTCCAGAGCAGGAGGTGACTGAGTGGGAGGGAGTGACGTCGAGTTGGCCACGCCCACCCAGTCACACTGCTTATTAAATGATTGGCTCCCGGTGTTTTCTTTTCTGTGGGAAACGGGTCCAAATGGCTCTTTGACTGTTTAAGGTTGCAGACTCCTGCACTAGGGTCACCCACGATCTTAGACAGTGTACCCTAGGCATTTGAAGACTTATAGTCCTTAGCCATCCAGAGAAGATTCCTGAGAGAAGCCAATTTAAATGTTAGAGGCTAGAATTGGGTTAAAGAATTTGGGAGATAAAACACCTTGTAAGACGCTTGCTGGTTGCTTAAAATGTTGCAGGCAACGCTAAGATTAGTTTTGGGGGGGAAAACAGTATAAGCTGGCAAGGTGTTTCCTATTCTCAAGTGGGAAGCCATGCTTAGCATACCTTGTATGATCATTCCTTGAATGCTAAGCTACCCCTGAATAAGGAGTTTTGCTTTGTAATTTAAAATACATTCACAGACTATAAGGGATTCAGATAGGAAAACACGATCATGCAAAGTCTAAAATCAGCTTGGTCCTGTGATCCATAATTTTAGCTGGCTTTCAGAATGGCAATCCAGGTTGGGTATTTAGAAATGCAGAGGAAACTTCTCCGGTATCGATTTGGTCATACCATCTCTGAGTTGCAAATGTCCAATTGGCCATCAAAGGATGACGAAGAAATACCAAACTTTGCCTGAAATTCTGTAGTCAAAATAGAGCTCTTAAAGACATTTCCTTCGCCTTCCCTGTAGCAAAGTCTCTTGCGATTCTGCTAGTTCTGTCTATAACCAAGCTGCTCCAAGAACATCAGTAACAGAAGGACCATGTATTCAGTCACTCTTGTCCTGATGTGTGACTTGATTTCTCTTGTCTAGACCAGTACTTGGAGGGGAGAACTAAGATCAATGTGCCAGCATGATGAATTAACTTCAAAGATGCCAGAAATGAAGCCAAGGAAGCAGAAAACAAATTTATTTTCCAAGCAGAGGAAGCAGCAAAACAGAAAGATTTTAAGCATAGTTTGGGAACTGTGTAATGAGGATAAGGCACAGATTTCAGATTAACAGAGTTGGAAGGGACCTTGTAGGTCATCTAGTCCAATCCCCTGCCCAAGCAGGAGACCCTACACCATTTTTTGACAAATGGCAGTCTAAGTGCTATTGTTATTGTGAGAATAAAATGAGGACTTACACCTTCTTAAAGAAAAGCCATAATATACATGTAAGAAATCACAGATGAGTACATTGGATATAAATAATCTGGGAATCAGCAAAATGAAATAAACTGGAGTGGGGTACTGCGTCCAAGGAATGTCATATCATCAACTTTGGAAAAGACTATAGAAACAAATAGAGAATTCATCATTATTAAGGAAAGAACACAGAAGATGCAACCCTGAAAGTGAAAAGATTATTTAAACTTGAATCTAAGGAGTTGTTTCAGTATTACAGATAGTCATTGATTTATGACCATAATTGATACTGAAATTTCTGTAGCTACTTAACAGATAACAGATAATCAGAGTTGGAAGGGACCTTGTAGGTCATCTAGTCCAGCCCCCCACCCAAGCAGGAGACTCTACACCATTTCTGACAGATGGCAGTCCAATCACTTCTTGAAAGTCTCAAGTGATGATGCTCCCACAACTTCCAAGGGCAAACTGTTCCATTGGTTGATTCTTCTCACTGTCAGAAAGTTTCTCCTTATTTCCAGGTTAAATCTCTCCTTGTTCAGTTTCCATCCATTATTCCTTGCCTGGCCTACAGGCGCTTTAGAAAATAGCTTGACCCCTTCCTCTCTGTGGCATCCCCTCAAATATTGGAAGACCGCTATCATGTCTCCCCTGGTCCTTCTCTTCACTAGACTAGCCAAGCCCAGTTCCTGTAATTGTTCATTGTATGTTTTAGACTCCAGTCCCCTAATCATCCTGGTTGCTCTTCTCTGCACTTTTTCTACAGTCTCAGCATCTTTTTTATAATGTGGTGAACAAAACTGGATGCAGTACTCTAGGTGTGGTCTTACTAAGGCTTTATAGAGTGGTATTAGTACCTCACTTGATCTCGAATGTATCCCTCTGTTAATGCAACTTAGGATTGTGTTGGCTTTTTTGGCGGCTGCTGCACACGGCTGGCTCATATTTAGCTGGTTGTCCACTAAGATTTGGAATGAATTATGAAGTTCTGTGCCAGGGTAATCTATTTGGCAGAAAGTCTCAGTACAAGCTGCGTAAGCAGGATTTTGCAATTTCATCAACTGAAGAGAACCCTTTGAAACCAGCTTTCAAAGTATTGGATACGGCAGCTATCTTGGAAGAGGGAAATTTGGAGCAAAAAGGACTCTGTTCCCCTTGGTTCTGCTCCCCCCCCCCTCAATCAGCATTTTTCAAGATCTTCAATAGGATGTGGGGCATAATTACAGGTCATCCTCAACTTACAACAGTTCATTTAATGACTGTTACAACGGCATTGAAGAAAGTGACTTATGACTATTTTTCAGTTGCAACTTTTGTAGCATCCCCATGATCATGTGGTCAAAATTCAGATGCTTGGTAACTGGCTCATACTTGTGACCGTTGCTGTGTCACAAGGTCATGGGATCATCTGTTGCAACCTTTTGACAAGCAAACTCAATGGGGAAGCCAGATTCACTTAACATCCGGATTACTAACTTATCAACTGCAGTGATTAACTTAAAGGTTGTAAAATGGGGCGAAACTCACTTAATAAATGTGTCACTTAACAACAGAAATTTTGGGCTCAAGAAAGACTACCTATATACTTCCCAACCAAGGTTTCATGAAGCTACATGGGAATCTATCTATCTATCTATCTATCTATCTATCTATCTATCTATCTATCTATCTATCTATCTATCATCTGTCTGTCTATCATCATTCTTTTAAAGGCACACATCCCAATGAAAGAAAAATCACCTGGAAGTTCCTATTTGGTGTGTACCCTGAGAAATCCACCACTGAAGAGAGGAAGGAGCTGGATCGGCAAATGGCTTCTCAGTATCAATGGATGAAGCATTCATGGAAACAGCGCTTCCCCTGGGCTGCCACCATGAGGACCCAGTGTGACTGTAAGTGCTGCTTCTCCACTTGGTTTTATATCTTCCTAGGCTCCTCCTCCCACTAGGTGGAGAAACAGAGCTCCGCCTTTTAAAGTGCTCCTGACCTGGACAATAAGGTGATCCTAACCGTTCCATTATGCCTGCAGTTGAGCTTTCCTTGGCCATCCAGAAACACAATGAAGATCAGAGGGAAATGGAAGCAGCCAATCCACCTATGGATACCAACAATGAGGTGAGGAATAAAGGAGAAAGCATATTTCTTGAAAATAAGATAAGTCAGAGCAACTAGAAAACTAGCTATATACACTGCCCTTCAAAATGTTTTCTGTTGGCTCAGCATTGAGATGGCTGCTTGCTGGTGTTTTTTTTTTAAGATAGACATGTGCCTATTTTCCACTTACCACTGAGTGTCTATAAGCAGTCAGCAGTCCTATAAAATTAGAGATTTCCATGCCAAGTATTGATGAACTTGTCAGTCAAGGCCAAACAGTCTCAGAATAGGCAAAGTTAGCATTTCGGGGGGGGGGGGGGGGTGTCTTTTCATAGACTTTAAAAAGTTCAGATTTGGGATGGATGGATTGTGTGATTAGGAAATTATTTTCCACTTACCACTACTAGTAGAAAGGGAGAAAG